CAAGGCCTCTGGAGGTCATGGCGGGAGTGCCTGTGGGGGGTGTGATGAGATGGGAAGGAGTGGAATGGGATGGGGTGGGATGGGACATCCTTGGAAGATTATTAACTCGACTGCTTATCTTCTCAACGAGGCCTCTGGAGGTCACGGCGGGGGTGCCTGTGGGGGATGTGATGAGATGGAAAGGAGTGGAATGGGATGGGGTGGGATGGGACATCCTTGGAAGATTAATAACTTGACTGCTGATCTTCTCAACAAGGCCTCTGGAGGTCATGGCGGGGGTGCCTGATGGATGGAGGGGACGGGAGTGGGGTGTGGAGTGTGGGATGTGGGCTTTGGGGGGACGGTTATCTTAGCACTCTGTTGAAAAACTCGCCACCTTCTCGAAGTCCTTCTCAACGAGGTCTCGAGAGGTCATGGCAGGGGTACCTGTGGTACGATGGGATGCGATGAGGTGAAAGGGGATGGGAAGGAGTGGAATGGGATGGGGTGGGATGGGATAGGAAGTTGTTGGAAAACCGATAACTTAGAAGCCTTTTTTCTCAACTAGGTCTCAAGAGGTTAAGGCAGGTGTTTATGATCTATGGTGAGTGTGGATTGTGGGGTGTGGATTGTGGGGTGTGGGGTGGATGGGGTGCATGTGCCAGGTGAGGGTGTGGTTGGGTGGGGAATGTAAACTACACAGTAAGGCAAACATCAGGACTAGGCACAATTAACTTAAACTAGACCCAAAATCTGACGTCACCAGGTGCCAACGCGTTGCTGTCTCCGAGTTCTCTCACGAAGTACTCCTCATAGACTCACTCACTATCAGATAATAGCACAGCGAGCCAAAGGTATGCACCTGTTCTGACGCCACCAGATGCCAGTGCGTTGCTGTCTCCGAGTTCCCTATAGGAACACTCACTACTTAGATAATAGCAAACCGAACCCAAAACATACGCACCTATTCTGACGCCACCAGGTGCCAAGGCGTTGCTGTCACCAAAGACGGAATTCTTGTTGAGTGTGATGTGGGCGATGTCACACACCTTCTCCATCTTGTTGCCTGCCACGTGGACACACCCAGGGTTTGTTGGGGGTTAGGGATACAATTCCAGAATGACAGCCACATGACAGATAGCGACACGGGAGAGGTAAACTTAAGAAATTTCACAATATTATACGGAGAAAAAATTACTGGGAAACAGCGGGCCTCAGATGCACCGAGCAACGAGTGTGGCTGCAGCACAGCAGAGAGTGACAAAACAGAACGTTACAACACAGTATGTGACGCAACAGAGCGGTACATACCAGTGAGGCCCAATGGCCGAAGGTCCCACAGCAGCAGGTGGTTGTCCGTGCCACCGGTAACCAGCTTGTAACCCTTCGCTACTAGTGCCTCGCCCAGCACACGGGCATTGGCCTTCACCTGGACCAATCAGAGAAGAGTAACAGGGGAGACGAAAACAAGGAAAAAAAAAAAAGAGATGGAGAGGCAGATGGGGAAGGCGGGAGTTGGGCCCCATATCAACGATTGGGCTAACGTAATATGGGAAATTGGAACGCCGGGGCCTTTTAGAATGTCCGGGTTCAGGCTTCAGCAAGCTAGCAGGGGTGGTTGGAGAATCCAGCAGGGTTCGGGGTTTAGCAAACGCTCAAAGGAATGTGAAATTGAATGGGTGACGGGAAGCCGGGACACATTCAGCTGAATGTGCATCAAAGGTTATCCCTTGACTGAGTGGGTTACGAGGTGTGCTTTCAACCCCTTCAAGTCGAAATTCGTTTCCCCCCTCCCCCGCAATTTCGTTTCCCCACGCCCCCGCAATTTCATTTCCCCCTCCCCGTCGAAATTCGTTTCCCCCCTCCCCCGCAATTTTGTTTCCCCCCTCCCCCGCAATTTCGTTTCCCCCCCCTCCCGCCAATCTGTTTCATCCCTCCCGCCATTCGGTTTCACCCACACTTGCCATTTCACCCCCTCCCGCCACCTACGAAATGCCCGAAGCTCTAGCGGAATCATTTTTTTGTCGCCCCTCGTGAGCCAATCACTGTTTTTCTCCAAACCCCCTTCCCAACATCTCAAGCCGAACCGCGTTGAATGTGCACACTTCTGAATAGACTCAAGAGCCGCTTCACTTAGACGAGCACAGCACCTCAAATGCCCATGCGGGGGATTGCTTGTAGCTCTCGGAGAGACCTAACTGCAGGGTCTAAGGTTTCAGGTTTCAAGTTAGGGTGCACGTTTACGGGTTTCGGAATTGGAGTCCCGGGTTTAAAGTGGACTCGGATCGACCTTGGAGTCGACCCAAAGAAAAGTATTAGGCGCGTGGCGCGTCTTGCAGAATAGGGCACACGCCCTACAGCATGAGGATACAAGGAGGTCGAAGATTGATCTAATCGTACCTGCTGCGCGTAGGCCTTGAACGCGGGAGTGGACGCCTGCTTCAGCGCCACGGCAAGCGCGCCGATCTGGTGGTTGTGCGGGCCGCCTTGGAGCGTCGGGAACACCGCGAAATTGATGCGATCCTCGAAGTGGTACATCCCGTCGTCCGCCGCCGCCGCCGCCTTCGCGCCTGCCTTGCTTGGCGACGCGGCCGCTTTCCCCGCCGGGGACGCCGCGACATTGGCCTGCGCAGCGGACTTAGGGCCGCGGCGGAAGAAGATCATCCCTGCGCGCGGGCCGCGCAGGCTCTTGTGCGTCGTGGTTGTGACGAGATCGCAGTAGTCGAAGGGATTCGCAGCTTCCTGCGCAGGTGGGGGCGTTCGGGAGTCAGGGGTGGAGAAAGTGGGTGCAGATGCGGGAAAAAAAAGGTTGATAATTCTCCTGAAATCGAAGGAGGAATGATCAGGTTTTTCTTATTTCTGACCTACAGTTATGACGTTCATTTTCACGTGAGACTGCAGATAAGTTGGTCTTCAATCAGAAAAAAACGAAGAATGAAAGAAGACAGTGCGGATTCGCGCTATTCCCACAAAAAAAAATCGTACCTGCGACGCCACCAGTCCACTGATATGCGCCATGTCGCACAGGAGCGTCGCACCGACTTTGTCCGCAATCGCACGGAATCGCGCGTAATCCCACTCGCGAGGGTACGCGCTCCCGCCGCAAATGATCATCTTCGGCCGGAAATCGATGGCTTTCTCTTCAAGCTTCGCGTAATCCACGATGCCCGTCTCGGAATCAACCTTGTACGGCAGAGATTCAAAGTAGATCGACGTCCCCGATATACGCTTCCCGTTTGCCATATAGTACCCGTGCGTCAGGTGCCCGCCGGAGGGCAGATCCAGGCCCATCACGCGATCGTGAGGTTGCAGAATCGCCGTGTACGCCGCGAAATTCGCCGGGCTGCCCGAATACGGCTGCACGTTGACTCCCCATTTCGCGGGGTCGAGATGAAACGCTTCGAGCGCGCGGTTACGGCAAAGATTCTCGATCTCGTCGATGTACTCGTTCCCGCCGTAGTATCGCGCTCCGGGCATGCCTTCGGAGTATTTATTTGTCAGCGGGCTGCCCAGCGCCTCGAGCACGGCCTGCGAGGTGAAATTCTCGGACGCGATGAGCTCGATGCCGCGCCACTGGCGCTTCTTCTCCTTCTCAATCAGTTGGAACATTTCCGGGTCCACCTGAGCCAACGGGGTGTTGCCCCATGCTTTCACCGGATCCATGTTCTGCGCACGCGGTAGTTACGGCCAACGCAGCTTTTTGGAGCAGCTGGGGACTTAAAGACCGCTGCTAAACTGGTTACCGCAACGGAACGTGGTGGACGAGGAGGGTTGAGGCTGTTTCGAAATTTGAGATTATGAACGATGGTTGATCAGTCTGCTTGGGGATTCTTATGTACCAGCAGCAAAACACCCAGGCCCCTGGGGTGTGTCACATCCAGTCAGAATTTGGGGTTGTTGGAACAGCCTGTGGTTACAAGCTTCGAAGCTGTCGTAATCATCTCGTCGCCTCGCGCAAAGAGTCGTCAGGGGCAAAATGAATCCGGTAACCATCGAATGTTAGGAAGCGAAAATCAAGGCTCTTGGGTTTGGTGAGGCTCGAGGTTTGATTGACAGCCAAACCAAGAGGTTTGGGAGAGGGGAAGACAAGCTGCCACGGGGCTTGGTGCAGTGAATCTGTGGCATGCGTCGGCTGAGCGCCCAGAAAACAAGGGACAATTCCCGGAAATTCCCAGCGGTAGGAGGTATTCCTATAGTCGTGAAACAACACGCGCTTCGTCCGACGGGGCTGAACGAAAAGCCCGAGAACTTAGTTCGTGATGCAGGCTCAATCACATCAAGACAGTACAGTTGTGTCTTTTCAGGGATGCTGTGGGTTCTACGTTTGGGGTGGGGATTTATTCAAATCTCCGCTATTGGCGAAACCGAATCAGCGACAGAAACAAAACAAGTCGCAACGGCAGTGTAATTTGTGGCTAGCTGGCTCTGTGGCAGGATGAGCATAGTGACGGGAAGCCCTTCAATGGGCTGATTGCCGTTGCCTGCCCCTGCTGGCGCCGCTGACAGATGTCCCATTCGCGCGGGAAAAGCCCAGGGTCGCTTCGTTTCGACAGCACTGACAGGCTGCCAGCGTGGCGCCGCGACATCTCAATTCTTGTGCCAGCTGATCTTCAATCCCAGGAGTTCGTTTTGAGCTACACGTGGAGGAAACAAGCTTCCAATCAGCTTTCATCACTGCACTATACCGATGTAAGCGTTTACTGTGCTGTAGGATTACGAACAAACAGCTTATAATTCAACATCATACTGTCAGCCCAAGCCAGCATTATTGGCTGAAGCCAGAGAACTCATCATGAGGGGTAAAGAAGACTACGTATTGCTCTCCAGTGTTTTTAGTAATGTGTCCTTCCGGCGAAAAGGTGACAGGCCTGAGCCGATATCAACAAGCCACGATCGTGATTGTCAAAATCCAACTAAAGGAAAAGAGTGCACAGAAAGGAAAGGTGGCAGGCACACATATATCCTTCCTTCCAACTAATACCTACATCGCTGAAAAGAAGTACAACAGACGAAACCGCTACTCAAGCCAGGTGGCGGCTAGCAGGAGAGAAGGAGGGCAGGTCCGGGCCCGAATCCGGCGCCGAGCGAGCTATGAGCGCCGCCGCCATGATGAGCAGCGGGAGGGCGAGGATCCACTTGAGGAGGCGGTAGAAGTGGATGTGGAAGGAGAGGGCGAATTCATCATGGAAGTGCAGGCGGCGCTCGTCCTCCATCTCGATGAAGAAGGTGGCGTGCGTGCGGCGCTTGGGAGTGGGGATCACCAGCGTGTGCACCCCCGCATGCTGAAAGGTCTCCTCGTGGGTCAGCTCGCGCTTTGCTTCGTCGAACAGCCACACCTGACAGTTGGAGAGGAAAAGAGGGAGGGGATGACGAGGAAGGAGTGGCGAAGCAGAGGAAGTGTGAGTCGTGAGCGTCGCTGCACGGGTCAACGTCGCTGCACGGGTCAATGTCGCTGCACGGGTCAACCCCTCCCACATCCTGCGGGAAAACAGCCAAGCATGGGGTGCCTGAAAGATGACCAGCGTGTGCACACCGGGGTGCTGGAACATCTCCCAGACAGCTTGTAGGGCCCGATTTGAGCCCCGTATGCCCTGCCGCGTCCCAGGGGTTTGCGCGCATCCACAATCTCAAGGCTGAGTCAAACAGAGTCACTTAGACGAGAGGGTCTCTCCAAATGCCCAGGACAGGACTCATGAGATGACCTGTACGCACCGTCACCTTGTACGGCCCAATTTGAGCGCAATACCGTACGCCCCTCCATGACCCACAGGGTTACGTGCATCCACGATCCTTTTTTGACTCGAAAAGAGCCCTCGCTAATGTCACGGTACTGGTCGGAGTGCGGCAGCATGTAGATGCCCCTTCACAGACGGGCGGACTGGCAAACAGACGGACAGACAGACAGATGGACGGAGGGACCGAGGAAGACTGCACGCACCTTCACTTTGTAGGGCCCGATTTTAGCCCCGTATGCTCCGCCGTGCCCGAGCGGGTTACGCGCGTCCACGATCTCGAAGCTGACGCGGAAGGAGTCCTAGGCAATGTCACGGTACTGGCGGGAATGCAACGGCGCAGCATATAGATGGCGCTACACACATGGACAGACAGACAAGGACTCATGGCCTGTACGCACCTTGACCTTGTACGGCCCAATGTGTGCCCCTCCGTGCCCGAGCGGGTTACGCGCATCCACGATCTCGAAGCTGACGCGGAAGGAGTCCTTCCCAATGTCACGGTACTGGCGGGAGTGCGGCAGCATGTAGATGCCCTCGTGGCCGTAGCGCGGGAAGAACACGTTGCGCCCCTGGTTCTGGGACGGCCATGCCTGAGTGACAGGGAACGGTGGTGGGTTGGCAGGGAGACGGGGAAGTAGTGGGAAACAGTGAGAGCAGGGACCATTCGAGAGTACAGAGGAATATGAGAAGAACTTGTGCTGTGTGCGATTCCTAGGCGCCGGTGCATGGGGGGGTGGGGAAGTGGGTTGGGAAGGAAAGAGTGCGGCAGCATGTAGATGCCCTCGTGGCCGTAGCGTGGGAAGAACACGTTGCGCCCCTGGTTCTGGGACGGCCATGCCTGAGTGACAGGGAACGGTGGTGGGTTGGCAGGGAGACGGGGAAGTAGTGGGAAACAGTGAGAGCAGGGACCATTCGAGAGTACAGAGGAATATGAGAAGAACTTGTGCTGTGTGCGATTCCTAGGCGCCGGTGCATGGGGGGGTGGGGAAGTGGGTTGGGAAGGAAAGAGTGCGGCAGCATGTAGATGCCCTCGTGGCCGTAGCGTGGGAAGAACACGTTGCGCCCCTGGTTCTGGGACGGCCATGCCTGAGTGACAGGGAACGGTGGTGGGTTGGCAGGGAGACGGGGAAGTAGTGGGAAACAGTGAGAGCAGGGACCATTCGAGAGTACAGAGGAATATGAGAAGAACTTGTGCTGTGTGCGATTCCTAGGCGCCGGTGCATGGGGGGGTGGGGAAGTGGGTTGGGAAGGAAAGAGTGCGGCAGCATGTAGATGCCCTCGTGGCCGTAGCGTGGGAAGAACACGTTGCGCCCCTGGTTCTGGGACGGCCATGCCTGATGGGAGACAAGATGGACGTACAGGCGTGGGACGGCAGGGGAGAAACGGGGATCAGGGTTCTGGTTCTGGGACGAGGTGGCACTGCATGGATGTTTGGAAGCGCTACACAGCACAGCACCATCCATACTGGACGACTGTTCATGCTGAACACTCAACACACATGTATTGTGTCACCATTATCAAGCATCTGGAGAAGAGGCGATTTTTGAGTCGACTCAAAATCGCCATTATCAAGCATCTGGAGAAAGGATATACTCTGGCTCAAATGATCGCACCTTGAGTGGGTGGTACTGCACGGATGTCTGGAAGCAGTACACAGTGCTGTTGATGGTGGAAAGGAAACCACCAGTGCTGATCACACATGCAGATGCCACCACTACTGAGCCTTGCTGTGCCTTGCTGTGCCTTGCTGTGCCTTGCTGAGCCTTGCTGTGCCTTGCAAGTGGGTTCTGTGCCTTGCAAGTGGGTTCTGTGCCTTGCAAGTGGGTGCTGTCGCACCTTGAGAGGGTGGTACTGTACGGACGTCTGGAAGCAGTACACAGCACCGTTCATGGTGGAAACCACCAGGTCCAGGTCGTCCCCTCCGTCCACGTTCTCTGCCAACACCATGCTGTACCTGCATGGTTGAAAAGGGGAGAGCGTAAGGAGAGCGAAGTGGAGAGAGTTTTGAGGGAAGGTTTGGTAAGGAGTTGGTGGGGTGGGATGAGGAGGAAGGGGAGAGATGGTTGGCTTTTTTCCACTACCAAACAAGTTCTGACTTGTTTCAAAGCCCTCGACACTGCTGTCCTTTGCCCCCCTTATCCCCTCTTCCCATTGCTCCCCTTGCCATCCCATTCTTTCCCCCCCCTCCCCTTCCTCCCTTCCCTTTCCCCCCTTTACCCACTCCAATCCGCACTCATGAGGTTTCTCCAATGTCAAAGGTGTCGGCGCATCCGGTCCGTCCATCCACGGCGTACAGGAACCCATCAAACGACACCACCACCAGATGCAGCCCTGCCGACTGCCCCCCTGCTGCCCCTTGCTGCCCGCCCTTTCATCCCCTTCCCCTTGCTCCCTTCCTTCCTTCCTTTTCCCCCCTCCTCTCTTTCCCCCCATCTCTCCCGTCCACCCCTTTCCCCGCCCATCCCCTTCCCCCCTTCCCACGTCCCCACGCCCCTGACTCACGAGGTTTCCCCGATGTCGAACGTGTCGGCGCATCCGGTCCGTCCATCCACGGCGTACAGGAACCCATCAAACGACACCACCACCAGATGCAGCCCCGCCGACGCCCCCGCGTGCTGCCCCTTGCCGCCCGCGTGCTTGTGCAGATCCACCAGCAGAATCGGCGCCATGATGCGCCCGTGCGTGCGGAAGGGAAAGCCTCCCACGTCCTTGCCTGGGGAAACGAAGAGGGCAGGGGAAGAAAGGGAGGGGAGGAGGGGTGACGGGGGAGGGATGAAGGGGGTTTTGTTGGCATGCTGTCCCTGTGCAAATCCACCAGGAGAATCGGTGCCATGATGCGCCCGTGCGTGCGGAAGGGAAAGCCCCCCACGTCCTTGCTTGAAGCGGGAAGGGGGGGGAGGGGGCAGGAGGAGTAAGGAGCGCATGCCGCCCATCGTCCCCCCGTGCTCCACCAGCAGAATCGGCGCCATGATGCGCCCGTGCGTGCGGAAGGGGAAAGCGCCCACGTCCTTGAGGAATGAAAAAGGGAATGAAAAAGGGAAGGGAAAAGAATGGAAGGGGTTGGTTTTCGAGACGCCAGGTGCCTCTCCCACACCTCCTTGCCCTCCGCCGTGAATGCGGCCCCTCCCCACTACCCCACCCCACCCCACCCAACCTCTACATGCGACTAGTGAACGCCAAGTTACCTCTACCCTAAAGGTGAATTCTCACCTGTCCTGCCATCCAGCACGTAGATGTGTCCAGAGGAAGACCCAATGACCACCTCGGTGAACCCGTCCCCATTCACGTCGCCCACGCTCGTCCCCTGCGCGATCAGCAACGCCAGGTGCCGCTCCCACACCTCCTCGGCCTCTGCCCCGAATGCTGTCTCCCCCAAGCGACCACGCGAGCCAAACTCACCTCCAAATCCTTCTTGGAAATTCTAAGCCACCACTATCCATCCTGTGGTTAGTCCTCACCTGTCCGGCCATCCAGCACGTAAATGTGCCCTGACGAGGACCCAATGACCACCTCAGTGAACCCGTCCCCATTCACGTCGCCCACGCTCGCCCCCTGCGCAATCAGCGACGCCAGGTGCCTCTCCCACACCTCCTTGCCCTCCGAGGAGAAGGCAGCCACGTTGCCGCGGGTGTCGGCTGCAATGATCTCGAGCTTGCCGTCGTGGTTCACGTCTGCTGCCACCACCTGCCCCTGCACCTCCCCCATCTGCAAAGGGAAGCCGGGCTTCACCTTGCCTGGGGTGGGTAGCAGCAGAGGAGGAGGACGGGGGGAGTAGAGAGGGGAGAGGGAGAGGTAGAGACAGGATGAGTCTGGTTGTAAGGGAGAAGGTACGGGCAGGAAGCGGAGAATGGGAGGGGAGATGAGGAGGAGGAGCGGAAGGTGAAGGCGGCCACGTTGCCGCGAGTGTCGGCTGCAATGATCTCGAGCTTGCCGTCATGGTTCACGTCGGCTGCCACCACCTGCCAATGCACCTCCCCATCTGCAAAGGGAAGCCGGGCTTCACCTTGCCTGGTTGTTGTGGGGGGTAGGGGGGTGGAGGAGGAGTACGGACGGGAGAGGGTTAGGGGAAACAGGGCGAGTCTCGCTGGAAATGGAGGGGCAGGAAGTGGAGAAGGGGAGGGGAGATGAGGAAGAGAGGAAAGAGAAGGTGGCCACGTTGCCGTCGTGGTTCACGTCTGCTGCCACCACCTGCCCCTGCACCTCCCCCATTTGTAGGGGGAAGCCGGGCTTCACATTGCCTGGGGTGCGGGTTGCGGGAGAAAGTGGGAGCGGGAAATGTAGAAGCGGGGAATGTGGGAAGGGAGAACAGCATGTGCAAGGCTTTAACCATTGAACCATGCACGTACCAAAGGCGTCAAGGCAGATGAACCCCACGGACGTCCCAACAATGATCTCCAGGAACCCATCTCCATCCAAATCCACGACAGTGGGAGCCGAGTAGATGTAGGCGCGGAACTGTGTGCTGTCGGTGGTGAGGTCGAGGTGCTGCTGCTGCTGCTGCTGCTGCTGCTGCTGCTGCTGCCTAAGCCAACCAACACCCCTCTCAAACCCAAGAAATCACACCAGAATCCGCACCAGAACCCAAACCAGAACCCACACTAGCTACGTACCAAAGGCGTCGAGGCAGTAAATGAAGCCGACAGACGTGCCCACAATGATCTCCAGGAACCCATCGCCATCTAGGTCCACGACAGTAGGAGCGGAGTAGATGTAGGCGCGGAATTGCGTGCTGTCGGTGGTGAGATCGAGGTGCTGCGACCATTTGACCTGCTGCTGGCTAGGCCGAGCAGAGATCACTCCCAAACCCAAATTCGCCCACCAGAAAGAGCCCACACCAGAACCCACGTACCAAAGGCATCGAGGCAGTAGATGAACCCCACAGACGTGCCCACAATGATCTCCAGGAAGCCATCTCCATCCAAATCCACGACAGTGGGAGCGGAGTAGATGTAGGCGCGGAACTGCGTGCTGTCGGTGGTGAGGTCGAGGTGCTGCGACCACTTGACCTGCTGTGTGTGCAGGTCGAACACCACAATGGCCCCCCCAATGTACTTGCTCATGTCCACCCCCTCCTCCAACTCGTGCTTGTGCGCCGGGTCCTCGTAGTACCTGGTTGGAGATCAAACAACAGAACAAAGACTTGCTCTTTTTCTTTCCCTTGGTGATTGGATCGAAAGTAGCATGGGCAATTTCAAAGAGTAGTGCACTTCACGTGCGGCACAGCAAGCACAAACCCAGCATGGCAGCATGACACAACGCACGGCACGGCATGCCGGCGTCAAGGCGCTGCAAGCAAGCTGCCCTGCCCCAACCGAACTCACTCTCGGTCAAAGAAGTGAGACGCCGCCACCACCAGCTCATCATGGCCATCATTGTCAATATCCGCTATCACCTGGTGCGATGGAGAGAGGGGTAGGGAGAGGGCGAGGGAGAAGGAGAGGAAGAGGGAGAGGGAGTGGGAGAGGAAGAGGAAGAGGGAGAGGGAGTGGGAGAGGAAGAGGAAGAGGGAGAGGGAGTGAGAGAGGGAGAGGGAGAGGGGAAAGGGAAGGGGAGAGGGAGAAAGAAGAGTAGATTGAGACGTATATGAGACACAAATTCTATCGACAAGTATTAACTCCTTGTTCTCCCCATGCGTCACCTCCATCCAGTCCTCACATGCCCTCACGGCCCTGTCCAGTCCTCACATGCCCTCACAGCCCCTTGGTGCCTATTCATGAGAAACAAAAGAAGCACCTTATCGGCGTGCAGAGGATGTGTGAGTCAACCAGAATGAACTCCTTATCCGCCTCGTGCTCCGCCTCGGTCCAGTCCTCGTCCTCCCACATGTTCTCATTCACATAATCATCATAATCGTACTAGTACTCGTCCACCTCACATCCTTCACGGCCCCTCAGCCTCCGCGCGGGTAACCAAAAGAACCCTTACCGGCGTGCAGAGGATGTGCGAGTCAACCAGGATGAACTCCTTATCCGCCTCGTGCTCCGCCTCGGTCCAGTCCTCGTCCTCCCACATGTTCTCATTCACATAATCATCATAATCATACTGATACTCGTCCCCATCCTCCTTCTCCGCCCGCGGACCCCCCCACTCATCATCCTCCCCCTCTTCCTTCTTTATGTGCTCCTCCTTGTGTGTCTCCTCCTCCCCATGATGCCCCCACCCGCCGTGACCCTCGTGCTCCTCTCCCCCTAGCTCCTCCCCCTCCCCCGCCGCCTCCCCCTCGCCCTCGTTGTTCCCCGCCCAGTCATCCCCGTCGCCCTCCCACTGCTTGTAATCATCATCATCTTTAAACACGTCCCACGAGTCCGCCCCCTCCTCGTCCAACTCACTGTCGGGCTCTGCTGTGGGGAACTGTGGGGGTGAGCCAGAGAGAGGGGAGGGGCGGGCATAGAGAGACACACAATCAAGTCCTGCCCAGTCATCCCCGTTTTGAGACGTCTCAAAACTAGTAGTCATCATCATCCCCGTCCCCCTCCCACTGCCTGCCGGTAGTCATCATCATCATCATCCTTAAACACGTCCCATGACTCCGTTCCCTCCTCGTCCAACTCACTGTCGGGCTCTGCTGTGGGGACCTGGTTGGAGAGACGGCCAGAGAAAGAGCAGGGGTAGGCACACAGGGGAGGAGGGAAAGGGGAAATGACGATGCCAGATAGTCCCAAAGTGATCATCATTGCCTCGCCCTTGAACGCATCCCACGAGTCCAGTCCCTCCTCATCCAGCTCAATGTCTAGCTCTACTGTCGGGCCCTGTGTGCCCCGCTCACCCCTCCCCACACACACTGTCCGTGCACCTGCAGCAGCCTTCTACATGCACCGTATCTATCCCCCCTCCTCCAGCAGCCCCCAAGACTCACATCCTCGTGGTTGCCAGCGTGGCTATCCCGGAGCACCTGCCGCAGCCTCCTGCGTGCTTCCCCCACCCCTGACTTGTTCTCATGCACCTGCAACAGCCTTCCACAAGCACCATGCACATCCCCACCCTTCCAACGCACCCCCTTCCCCAATCCCCAGCAGCAGCAGTACTCACATCCTCGTGGTCGCCGGCATGGTGGGCCCCGTGCACCTGCAGCAGCCTCCTGTGCGCACCATGCCAGTCTCCTCTCTCCCTCACACCCCCATTCCCAGCAGCCCTCCCCTCCGACTCACATCCTCGTGGTCCCCAGACTGGTGCTCCCCGAGCACCTGCAGTAGCCTCCTGTTTGCACCATCTCCCTTTCCCCTAAACACACCCCCTTCTCCCCTAATTCCACCACCCCCCCCCCCCCCGACTCACATCCTCGTGGTCGCCGGCATGGTGGTCCCCATGCACCTGCAGCAGCCTCCTGCGTGCACCCCCCACCCCCGCCTTCTCCTCATGCACCTGCAGCAGCCGCCTACGCGCCCCATGCACCCCTCCACCACCACCACCAGCAGCAGCAGCAGCAGCAGCAGCAGGGGGCGAGTTGTCCCCCGGGAGCAGCAGCTTACTCTTCCAGTCCTGGTAGTGCTTCCACAGTGCCTGCTCCTTCTCCCCCATCGCCCCTCCCCCCTTGGCCGTCACGTCCTGGTGCCACTTCTCCCATGACTGGATCTTCTGTAAATCCGCCTCCGTTGCTTGGACCTTCCCAGAACCTTTCACCTGCTGCTGCCCCTGCCCCGCCTGCTGCTGCCCCTGCTGCCCCTGCTGTCCCCCTGCTGCTGCTGCGATTCCCCCACTCATGGCAGCAGCGACAGCAGCAGCGGCCGCCTTGGCCTCTGCTGCAGCATGCGCCTCTTTGCTGCACAGCTCGTCCTTGCCACAATCCACCACATCTGCCAACGCCGCCCCTCGTCCCCCCGCCCCTGCAGAACCACCAGCAGCACCACCAGCAGCAGCGCCTGCGGCATGCACTAACGGCTCTACAAGCGGGGGCATCTCAATCCCCCCGCTGCTAGCACCTCCAGCAGCAGCAGCACCGCCAGTAACAAGCGGGGGCAGCTCAATCCCCCCGTTACTAGCACCTCCAGCAGCAACACCCGTGGCAGTTACAAGAGGGGGCAGGCCCGGCTCCTCCTGAGGGCCCTCTACCTTCACCTGCGCTTGCGCCTGAGGGTGCTGCTGTTCTGCGAGCGTTCTAGCAGCAGTGGCTGTGCCAAACGCGGTGTCTGCTGCTGCGTGGGGGATGCCTGGTTGCTGCAGGTCACTCCCATGAGGCAACCCCCCCCCTCCTGCTGCGTGCTGCTGCTCGGGATGCTTGTCGGGATGTTGCTCCGGGTGGTGCTCGTGATGCACCTCCTGCGGCTGCTGCTGCAGTGGCTGAATCTTATACTGCCCCTGTGCCTGCTGCCCCTGCGCCTGCCCTGGTGTTCCTGGTGCGTGGGTGTCAGAGCCACCAGCGCCGCGCTCAGCATGGGCGTCAGCGGCGTGTGCCGTGGGCAGGTTCAGAAGGTCGCCCCCCTGGAGCTGGCTGGACGCGTTCTTGGCTGCCAGGTGAAACACAGGGAGGTGAGAGGGAGGAGAGGTTGGGGAGAGATGGAGGGATGGTGGGTGCGGAGGGACAGAAAATATCAGTGAGAATGGGAGAACCACCACCAGCGCGGCGATCAGCATGGGCGTCAGCAGCATTTGGCTTGGGCCGTTTCAGCAGATCGCTCTCCTGATGCTGGCTGGACACGTTCTTGGCTGCTGCTGCGTGAAACATACAGAGGGAAGAGGGAAGATGCAGAAGGTGAGGGAGGGGGAGAGAGAGAGGGTCGGTGTGGAGGGAAAAGAAACATCTGTGACGACGGAAGGACCACCACCAGCAGCGTATCTGGCAAGGTCATCAGTAGCGTGTGGCTTGGGCAGGTTCAGCAGATCGCTCTCCTGATGCTGGCTGGACGTGTTCTTGGCTGCCGTGTGAAGCATGGTGAAGGGAGTGGGACTCTGGATCAAGCCGAGCATACCAGTACTGAGAATGCAGCTGCTTTTAGCAAGGATATACCTCACCATCGTTTATGGGAGCGTGGATTTCGGGGTGTGCATGGTCCACGTGGTCTGGGTCCAGCCTCACACGTGCAGTATCTTACAACAAGGATGTCTCACCAAGTAGTAAGCCCAGCCTATAACGGCTCACCGTCGTCAATGGGAGCATGTATGTCGGGGTGTGCATGGTCCACGTGGTCTGGGTCCAGCCCCACGTACCACTCCTTGCGGATGCGCAGCCGCGGCACACTCATCTTATAACGAGTCAGCTCCTCGCCACCAGGCCTGCGAGAAGAAGATATATACAAGTCAATCGGTGTAGTGAATCAGAAGTGGATTGAGTCGGCTCAGACGTGAAGGGAGATGATCTAAGTGTTGTAAACCGCAACGATGGTGTCCCTCCCACCGTCCTTGTTGATGCCGTGCAACAGGGTGTGCAAGCGAGCATCTGTGCCTGTCCCATCCGCACTGCCTGCCTCCCATGCATGTATGAGAAGAAGCAAGCAGCTACTGACTCACGTGAAGGAGAGGATTTCGCCGTTGTAATCCGCGAGGATAATCTCCCTCACGCCGTCCTTGTCAATGTCGTACAGCAGGGTACATGAGCTTCTGTGCCCCTCCCATCCCATCCGCAATGCCTGAGAGGAAGCGACTTAGCAACTCACGTGAAGGAGAGGATCTCGCCGTTGTAGTCCGCGAGGATGATCTCCCTCACGCCGTCCTTGTCTATGTCGTACAGCAGAGGGCTTGTGTGCGTGCTGGAGCGGTAGAAGGCCGGCCAGCCTGAAACAGAGGCGAAAGAGGGCAGATTGGAAAGCCATGGTAGCCATTGAGCACCTCGAGGCTCGAGCTAGGCAGTGCACGAAGGACAACACCACCTCCTCCAGCGCCACCACCACTTGCAGGTGCAACAGGTACATGCCTACGTGACGAACCCCAGACAAACGCAATGGCTACCAGCACGTACCGCATGCAGCCTGTCCCTGCCGTAGGCATCCAGCACCTCGAGGTAATGCACGAAGGACGGCACCACCAACCCCTCCGCCACCAATTGCTTGCAGGTGCAACAACCACATCCATACACGGCGAACCCAATCGAACGAGAGTATAAACACCACAACCATCACGTACCATGCAGCCGGTCACCATCATAACCGTCCAGCACTTCGAGGTAGTGCACGAAGGACGGCACCACCACCTCCATCTTGCTCGCAAGTGCAGCCGCCAAATGCCTATGTGAAGAACCCTATGGAAACGCATCATTTACCAGCACGTACCATGCAGTCTGTCACCATCGTAGCCGTCCAGCACCTCGAGGTAGTGCATGAAGGACGGCACCACCACCACCTCCACCACTATCACTTGTGACAACGACGACCATCACCACCACCACCACCACCACCTCCACCACTATCACTTGTGACAACGACGACCATCACCACCACCAGCACCAGCACCACCACCACCACTCACCATGTAGCCGATCGCCATCATAGCCGTCCAGCACCTCGAGGTAATGCACGAAGGACGGCACCACCACCTCCATCTTGCCGTCCCTGCGACAGCGATTAAGACAAGGGAGATCAGGAACGCGAGGACAGGCGGATTGCAGTGAGTGGATTTGACAACACGTCGTTTCGCCTCTCGGAACCCTCAGTCTGCGGGAAAAGGAGTGCCAGCGCGATGGATTTGAGAAGGCGGTATGAACGCAGCCTTTCAGAGCAATCCGTTGCGAACGAAGGTAGACCGACCAGCGAGAGACCATAGACATCAGATGAGCTCAACCAGAATAACGGACTCGCACGGCAACCATGATCGCAGCTTAAAACAAAAAAATGCAAGAAGCTCCGAATCGTTGTTATCAACGATGTTCAACAAACAAATTCAACCTGCATTAATCATGTACTGACCGGTTAATGTCAGCGACGAGGGGAGTGGAGTAGATGCTGCTGCTGACCTCCGCCTGCCACCGCAGCTCGAGATTCACGGGACACCGGCTGTTCCCCATCGCCTCCTCGTCGCTGCTCGTACGCTCAGTCGTTCGTCCGACAGATCCCGCCGATTTATGCACATGGCCACAGGATGGTGGGAATGAGAGCGAATTCGTCGAAGCAAAAAAGAGCAGAAATAAGTTAAAAATGATGATGAGTTTTACTAACAATAAATGATACGCTGAATAAGGATTCTGAATCTGTATGCAGGCGGGGATAGCCGGCTGGAACAGCGAAGGAAGTAATATCCTTACACGGCTGGAATCGCATCGCTGTCGGCTGTCGCGTGACGCGACAGGAACTTATTCCCCTCATTGATCACATGTGAGTCTCTAGTAACCGGGTTTGATAACTGTGCCTGACATTCCGTCGCCAGCAACGTCACCGCGCACAGCACCAAAATGCCGACCTTTACGATCAGCTTCATCCTTACGCCTAACTCAAGCCGCGATGGACGCGAGACGCGCACAATCTGCAGACCTCAACGTGACGGACCGACCATGCGACCAGTAAGGAAATTCACGTTTTTATTAGGAAAGGATCTTGGAGGACGCTGAATTATGGACCCTTGGGATGATGGCTGTGGTGAACTGCCTCATGAGATCAGCGGCAAGATCAAGATTTGGAAGCATATCCACTTCAGAGAAGAGGGATATGCTTTACTAGCATAGTGTAAGGAAAAATCCTTTTCCTTACTTCGCATCCCTACTCAGCGCGTACGCTACTGTTCCCGCCAACAGCACCCCACAATAATCCGTTACCACTCGCGACATTCGCCTCGACCCCATTCCCGCCACTGTTCACGAAGCGACCCAACCTCACGGTTCGGCTGGTAACCCGCGCTCCGGACCTTCGCCTCGACAATCCCCAACCTCGGCGCCAGGCCCGTCACGCACCCCAGTTTTCCACACGTTACCGTTACCACTGTAGCTTCGCTACATATTCTTCGCTCAATCATTCGCTCATTGTATCTTGTCTCGATAGTGCAATCCTCGGTCGATCACTCAATTGCACTCGTAACACTTGGTTATCAGAGCCTACGATCTCCTCTCGGACCGCACCCACACCTTCGCTTCCCCACTATCTTCAATTTTTGGGGGGGGGGTAGACGTCTCTCAGCGACCAAGCATCGCCGCTCGTAGTGCTCTCTCGTAAGCACGCACGGCCACGACAGAGGCTCTCGCTGAGCTTGCCCGACACCCCCGCCATGGCTGAAATCACTCTCGCGACACTGACGCAAGCGCAGCTCGACCGTCTCGTACGCCAACTCGAAGATTCGGCCCTCGAAATCGCCACACTCACGGCGGAACGCGACTCCGCTCGCCAGCAATCCACAGTGAATGCACCAGCACCAACAAATGCACCCGCACAATCAGAGGAGCCGATCGTTATCTCGTCAGGCACACCGACACAGAACGACAGCGTGAGACAACGCTCAGGCGTAGCCAGTGAAGGCGCCGTTCACTCAATGCCTGGCATCGAGAGAAACAGGGCTGCACCAAGCTTGCGGGAGCCCCGTGAAGCCCGTCGGCACATGGAATTTGCAGCGACTAGCGGCGAATACGCCATCACTGTCAAACATCATTGTTGGGTACAAGTACTAACCCTGATTGGGTTGTACCCCTTATGGGCCTATACAAATGTATAAGCTATAATGTTCTGACACACCCCCATAGGCAAAGTGGGGGAGAACACAAAGTCACAAAGTCACCACACAGTCCGAGCACAAGCAAAGGGCCACAAGGCCAGTTCACATGCAGAGTTATATAAAGAGAACAAACAATACATTGATCATACCCTAGCAAGTGCAAGCATGCAGGTATATATATAGATCACAGTACAAGCAGAGTCAAGCAGTAAGCAAGTGAGGCAAAGTAGGCACACGGCCTAACACTGTAGCAAAACGCTGTTGATCACCAGGCGGAAGTGCCTTGGTGAAGACATCAGCAGTGTTGGCCCGAGTGGCCACTTACGCAAGACGAAGCTGGCCACGCTGCTGCAACTCTCGAGCAAGGAAGTATCGCAGAGCGATGTGCTTCGTTCTGTGCTCCAGTCTGTGCTCCTGACACAAGGCAATCATGGCCTTGTTGTTTACGTACAGAACTGGAGGCGAACAAGGCTGCTCTCCCAAGTCGGTCAGCAGGTAGGTGAGCCAGCGTAGCTCCTGTGCAGCCATGGCCCCGTCGTAGATCTCAGCCTCACAACTGGAGCTGAGAACCGAAGACGAGCGCGTAGACTGCCAAGAAACAGAGCCGGAACCAAGGCTGAAGGTGTAACCCTGTGACGACCACTGCGTAGCTGAGTCGTCAACCCAGGAGGCGTCTGCGTGACCAGTGAGAACAAGTGGACCCCGTCCTCCAAGCACAAGCCCCATGCCCGACGTACTGCACAGGTAACGCAATACCCTCTTCGCAGCATCCACGTCATCATGTACATGAGGCAACCCACAAGCTCTGGGTACGGACCACTCGGCTCTACGGACTCGTCCAAAGGTGGAGCTGAGAGCGAGTGGCTGGTAGACAGAGGAGTGGGCTGTGGCGAGGAGAACTGGAAGCCGAAGCGCTGAAGGACCTGGTGCACCATGTGTGACTGAGTAAGTGTGATGGTGCGCCGTGCTCTGTCCCGGGTGATCTGCAGGCCAAGATAGCTGCGCAGTTCACACAGGTCAGTGCAGGTGTGTCTCTTCTGCAGCTCCGACTTCACAAGGGTCAGTGCCTCAGTGTCAGCAGTGGCAAAGACGAGGTCGTCGACGTACACGAGGACGTAGAACTGCGGCAGCGAGGTGTCGGTGCGTAGAAACAGCGACGGGTCCGCAGTAGAAGGAGCAAACCCAAGAGCCGCAAGTGTAGTCCTCAGTGTGTCGTGCCACTCGCGAGGCGCCTGGCGGAGACCGTAGACTGGCCAGCGGAGGCTCCACTGGGTACCTGCAGGAAACGTCCCAGTGAAACCAGGTGGTCGGCGCAGCCAGATCTCCTCGCGCAGGCTGCCCTGCAGGAAAGCTGTGCTGAAGTCCAGAGAGTGCAACTCGTAGTCACGCTGAGCAGCGATGTGCAGCAACACCCGAAGAGTAGTCATCTTCGGGGTGGGGGAGAAGGTATGGAAGTAGTCAACTCCCTGTCGCTGACTGAAGCCTCGAGCAACGTAACGCGCCTTGAAGGCAGGCCGAGAACCCGGCGGCCGCTTCACCAAAAAAATCCACATGCCATCGACTATGTTCGCCCGAGACGGGGGAACTTCATCGACGTAGGTGCCTGTGGACTTCCAGGATGCCATCTCGGCATCGATCGCTGCCTGCCACTGAGAGGAGTAAGGACCTGTAATCGCTTCTGCGTAAGAGCGCGGGATCGGGATGTCTGGAGCATCCGGGTCTCCCTCAGGGGCAAGCAGCATGGAAGCAAAACGAGGTACAGCAGCTGCAAGACACTCAAAGTCCTCCTTCCTGTCCTCAAGGACGTCCGTGCCAAGAGCACACTCACCCCCGATGGACGGAGGACTGGCAGACACAGACTCAGCAACTAGAGCAGTGGCGTAGTCGAGACGGCAGGCAGCAGAAAAGTCAAGCAGCTCAGCAACTAGAGCAGACACAGCAGCAGACTCAAAGGAAGGGTCAGTGACAGCAGTGGCGAGGAGACGAGAGACAGTGGGACTGGCAGCACGAGCGCGGTCAGACGCAGGGTCAGGGACCTCAGGAAGAGAGGACTCAGGAGGAGCAGGCAGAGGAACACGCAGTGGAACAGAGGAAGGACGGAGTGCCATAGCGTGCGTGCCGGGGACAGGAGGATGACGCGAACGAGGAGCGCGACGAGCACTGCGAACAGGCAAGACAAGACGAGACGCAAGCTCACGACGCTCTGTAAGACCACCGGACTGCTCAGTGTAAGGAGAAGGAGCAGGCAGTGGGGAGGCTGGGTGTAACGGCAGCTGAGACTTGTCAGGCGGTGGGCACAGGAAGGGAGGAGGAAGACCAGTAGAAGACGGGACACCAAGAACCTGCTGAAGCAGGGGAACGAAGTACGATTGCGGCCGCACTGTGCCTCCAGCACCTCCAGCGCCAGGGTCAACAGCTCCAGCTCCTGCAGCTCCAGCGCCTCCGGCACCAGTGCCTCCAACTCCAGCTCCTCTAGCTCAAGCACCTCCAGCGCCAGCTGCTCCAGGCTCCGTAGGGTCTCCAGCTCCAGCGCACCCAACACCACCAGTCCCGGCAGCTCCAGCACCACTGGTACGAGCACCTCTAGGACCAGTAGCCGCAGTACCTCCAGTACCGCCAGCTCCAGTAGGAACAGCAGCACCACCAGCTCCAGTGTCTCCAGCGCCTCCAGCTCTGGGAGCTCCACTCCGACGGTGTGCGCGCCGAACAAGCCACTCACGCAGCTGCTGCGAGGACAATTGCGGCGAAGCGCCAGCAGGACCTCCAGACAAATCAGCACCCCGAGGCGCAGCACCCCCAGAATCCGAACCCTCCGACTCAGCACCCCCAGGCTCAACACCCTCAGGCTCAGCACCCCCAGACCCAGCACCCTCAGACCCCGCACCCCCCGGCTCCGCACCCCCAGACGCAGCACTTGGAGCAGCACCTGAGCCGACAGCTACCTGAACAGGCGCAGTACCAGGGAGAGGGTCTACCTGAGACACACCTGAGGGAGCAGGACCTTGGGGCAGGAGGGGGTCTACCGGAGGTGGACCGGGAGCAAGGAAGAGCGGCGGGGGCGGGGAAGGGGCAGAGCGGTAGGGGAAGAGACGGTAGAAGGGAACCGACTCGTCGAACGTGACGTCCTGAGACGGGAGGACACGGCGCGAGGTGGGGTGGTAAAACTGCCAGCCAGGCGCGTCAGAGACAAAGCCAAGGAAGACGCAGGGAATGGCGCGGGCGGAGAGCTTGTCCGCGGACGTATCGCGAACAAAGGCACGAGAACCCCAGACCCGGAACACCGACGCATCGCCAACCTTCCCCGTCCAATGCAGTGTAGGCGAGGTCTCCGGCAAGGAGACACGGGGCCAGAGGTTGAGCTGATGCGCA